GCAAGGCCGTATAGGAAGACCATTCATCCTCATTACCTGACGCATGCTATCTGAGCGTCCTTGGCTCCCCAACAATCCCCGACTTATTGGTGTGCTCGCTAAATGCCCGGGTGGCCCAGCGCACGGGCAGTATCCGTAGTAGACAAGGGACTCCCGCAGCACGGCCTATGCGCCATAAAATATAGCGCCAAAAGCTCTCCACCAGGCAAAATTAACCAGATACTCCTGGAGCATGGCAAGCAAGCGTCCGTAGATAGAGCGATAACTCTTGCGAAAAGGCAATCAACCGGCACTGATACAACGTCAGTGCGCCAGTTCGCCAACGATCGGCCACTTTTTTGTTGGTTCAATGAAGCAGCCAACAGTCAATCACAATCCTGACCGTGTCAAGGCACAGAACAAAGTGTTTTACTTGAAGGATGCTTGGCAGCCCGAAACTCAATACAGAACTTGAAAGTTGCCAGTTTACAAGGAGCAAGATGTTTACTGGAACATACAGCATGCGCAATTGCGGCAGCTGTGACTCGGTTTCTTGCATACGCCACATTGTCACCAGTGAAACAATTGAGTTGTCGAAACGTGCGTTTTGTACACGACGTATGTATGGATCGGCTTCTGGACCAAAAGCGAAAAAGATTTCACGCAGGTGTGAACGCATGAACTGCCCCAAATCCACAACGTGGCGAAGCAGGATAGTTTCACGAATGCATTCGGCCCAGCAGGGCACGCGCTATCCAAACTATGCGCAGCTCGATGAATGAGCACACCGCCCAAGCTAAGGGCGCGTCTGTGTCGTTCTCCTAACACAAAAGATAAAACAGCCACCCAGCAAAACTCGGCGTGCAGCGCCGACGTCACCTATCGCCAACGCACCGAAACCAAACAAACCTCTTACCCGTGACATTTCCCCGACACCGTTGCACAGCCAACGGGGACCCTGCACATTAAAAACACGCGCCTACCCAAGGGTTCATCACAAAAACTGCGCGTATTTATGATTCCCTCTACTTCATGGCGCAAGCGGCACCGTGGAGCCGAGTCCCACACCCAAGCTCGCTGCCAGCCTCCTTCACGCGAGTCCACGCACAGAAAGCCTACTTGCATCGAGGGCAAATGCGTCCACTGAAGCTTGTCAACTCAACATCGTTGTGGTTCGACCCATAAAGCATGTTCTTGAGTAATCGCACAAACGGTCCGCAGCACCTTCCATCCGGCGCACACAAGCAAAGCCAGCTTCGCGCTCTGCTGCTGCCATCGCGGTGATTCATCCTCATTTTGTGAAAGCAAGCGGGCCAGGAGCAATGACAAAAGATCAGAAAATCCCTCGAGGTGGTGTCTCGTCAGCGTACAATTGGTACCTGTTCTGTTCAACGCACGACACCGGCGCTTGATGTACAAATCCTCGAAATTCAACTGAGAAGAAAACTTGAAGCAACGTAAACTCGCAGAGCTGCATCCTGCCAGGAAAGTGGTGCGATAGTTTGTTGTTAGGGTCCTGACAAGGATACTACACACAACCGTGCACTGTTTGAAAAGCATCGAACCTGCAGAGACTCAACATATAAGCAACTGCGCAAATCACAGCTCACAAATCAGTGGCTTAATCAACGACACTTGCGCCTGTACAAACGTTCCGCAAAACTCCCCGACACAAAAATCTCATAAACTTAAGTACATGGGCATAGCCGTTCAAGCAATAGCCCATGATGTTTCATGCCCAAGTAGTAGTCCTTTGTTGCGCGATTCCGCCCCAAATGGTGCTCCCTGATACATAGCACCCTCTCACTAGCTGCAACGCACAGCATCGAACGAGTACACTTCTTCGATTGCCTGCATCGTAGCATATATATCGATGTAGAGCTACGCACGCTTGTATGGCTGGATTGATCCGCCTTGGGACCCAAGCCAGTGTCTGACGATTTCACTTTTTGACCAGCAAACGTTCAGATACATAGTGCACCACTTACGCGTTCTTAGTGCCAATCGGTGCCACGAGTTTGCTAAGACTTGGTTGGGGCATCCAAGTATTGCAGAGCTAGTCTGCACTGGCTGCTTCCTCTCCAGTGCAGAGGAAGGTGGTCGTTTGTGCTTATTGTGACAGCAGCATGCTGCCCGTGGATGCGTGGTCGTATGCCTTTGGTCGCAACACACTTTCTGTACAGATATCATGTCCGTGTTGAGCGGAGAAGCAACTTATTCCCGCATTTGGCACTGTTCCATGCCACAGGAAGTGAAGTATTGCCAGCATCATCCGGTGGCAGCAGCACATCTATATCCATAGTTGTATATATCTATATCTATACCTACATCTAGTGGCACGACTCAAAAGAAACGTGCAGAGAGCTCCGGCAGTACAAGCCTTTTCGCGATCTACATGTGATGTATCTGCACTCCCATATCGGCCTGTTCTTTACAGCCGAAGCATCATTAGCTGCCAGCCTCGCTTGTCAATAGTCAGCGCCGCAGAAATACTAAATACGCCTTCTCATAAGCTGGTACATGTCCTCGCTTCGGTTGAGCTGCACAGCATAACCACATGCGTAAACCTCGGGGTGCACCATGCTGTCGCAATAGCCTGCCAGCTGCCCTGCTCGCTCGCACCACCCTCATCCGTCCCTCACCACTGGTAAGGCAACGCTAACGCTCTCTCTAACCCACGACACCTCTCAGACGTCGGTGCGCAGCCACCGGCGCTGACGTCACAACACCCACCGCTATACGTCATTGCTGGCAACCAACTCGGCAGCCCGTTGGCGCATGTTGCACAATATGGGGTAAGGGCAGCTCTGTCCCGGCGCGCCCCCCACCTGCTTTCAACATCAGCCTTCTCTCCAGCAACCAATGCACAATAGGCCCACCTGCATGGAGGCAGGCCTCGAGCTGGCAGCTGGATGCGTATCCATGTGCCGTTGTACGACAAGGTTGGTGTCAGCTGTGTAACAGTATGTTCCATTCACAGTTCAGCAGGCAAATGAGAGCACAACCGTAAGTAAAAAAACGCCGTGGCCATTCTCTGAGGAGCGTACCTGCCACACCTAATCTGCCTCTTTCCTTGCCTCGTGCAACGCAATCAGCCCGGGTGATGCGCTTCGTCAAGCTGCAGGGGCTACCCCGCGCCCACCTATCCAACGTTCCCGGTGCTAGCTCGGCAACCGCATGGTTTCAATGCAGATCATGGCGCAGGAGGCTCTCAACCTGAGTGCGCCGCCTGTGTATCTCACGCCAGACAATGAAAAGGTGGGAAGTATGGTGCGCCCATGCAGATGTCCCTGTAGAAATCGATTTGCTCGCGCTGAGATGCACATAGACGGACGTCCCGCGAAGTGCTGTGTCTGAATTAAAACGAAGGAAATGCTGATGGCGGCAACTGAAATATTGCCATGGCCTTCCTAGAAGCACGCGTAAGCATGGTGCGTCCTGCGTTTCGGTTGGCCGCGGCACGGGCGTCAACGCACCTCCAGCACTTTCTAGAACGTCTGTAGTAACTAGATTCCTGCCTCGAATCTGTCTCGAATCGCCACCGCAAGACGGAGCTAGTATACAGTAAGGCCACCTGTAAGTCCCACGCTTCATAGCTGCCTCTTGCTTCATCGATTTCCACCCAAAGACGCCACAACCTGTTGCACTCCGACGGGAGGCAGCGAAAGGCACGGGCTTTTGAACAGACGCAACCACAGCGCAAGCTGCATGGTCACTAATTTGCCTGTGAACGGTTATACCCGGGGCCTACCGAATCAACGTCTTACGCGAGGCAGGCCCGCTGCAACAGGTGTGCAACTGTTCTGACATCCTTGAACCAATTTCGTCCGCGGGTCCTAACGTGGCCTCCCGTCGCCAAATTTCCAAAATGGCCAACCCCTTTGCAGCTAGCTCACCTTACTTACAGTGGCCTAAGGGCGATCAAGGACTCATTCATGCAATCTCCGCCGTTCGGGGCACCTACGCCATCCGATGAGCATGCGGCAAAGTGTGACAAACTACGCTGACCTCTACGGTTCCCGAACACAAGAGCGGGCAACAACTAATTGAAAAGCAACACTCACACGAACGAACAAATGCGGTGGCCCTAATGAGGCCTCATAATGCCCGTCGCAAAAAAAGGCGCTTCCACAACAAGTCGCAACTTCTAAGCAGTTAACGCGTTGCAAAGCGCTCCCCAACACATTGCGCAAAATCTGCAGAACACTCTAGTGCTAAATTGCTCCAGAAGACCCGCACTCGTTTGCATTTCAGCCCTGCAGAAACCAACTTCCATGACTGGGAATCCCCTGTTCCCAACACAACTGTAGGCGGGCGTGCATGGTCGTCCAAATATCTGTCCAGAGTTCACAAGGGCTGTTTGATGCCTCTTTTTACTTAAAGTTTTGATTACTGAGAGTGTTTCAGCTAAAGCACATTACACACGCCCGCTTTCTGCACCAGCTTCCCCAACCACGAAAAGAGGCCGCAAGACACGCATTCACTGCAGCGGCCACGTGAACAGAACAATGCTTCATATGCACGTAGCAACCGCAGAAGGCACTCGGCCCCGAGAGGACTCCTTCCGCCGAGATGGCGATGCCAAGCGCCCCTGAGGTGCTCTAACATGCAAGGCTATACAACAGCCTGCAAAAGAATGGCTGATCCTCACAGCCAACAAAGAGAGCCTAAGTACTCTGCTTGAAACATCTACAATCGGAACTCTCCGTGAAATCCCTACGGACGCTCTCGTCCACCTTTTGAAGAAAACTTCCGGACACCGAATCATGGGGAAATATTCAACAAGTACAGGAAAAAAAGATCCCCAATGGCCCATAGGATACACTATATGTCAAAACGGGAGTACTTATGATCGCCGGTACAAGACGACTAGCGTCCGTTTGCATTGCACAGGGCTTTATGATCCAGTCAAAAGAAACCACATCTACGGTCCTTTAGAGACAGCATGAGTGCCTGGATGCTAATCTCAACAACAATAGCAGAGCAATTGCCTTGGATTTGTAAGTGTTCCCCATGTACCGTTACTCGAGCAGCAACGCCAGAGTCAACTCAATGGGCCCACTATCAAAGAGAACTGCTACCGCTACCTGCAGTACACAACGGAAGAAAACGGCTGGGAGCCTCTCCACTGCCTACCATGGCACTTCCCTCCCACGGGTAGAAGCTTGCTGCTACAATCGAAAGGTCGTGGCGCCCACTCCTAGCAGTTAAGAATGCATTTTAAAATCTCCGACATTACCCATAGATCTGGTCTTATCTGCCGTTGTGGTGATATGTGCACGGCGAGAAAAGACGAGGGAGAGGGTGAGTCGCCAAACTCGAGCCCATTCCTTGCACTTCCCTGTACGCCTTTACCCAGAGTCAACAAATGTCAACACATGTTCAGACTGCTTTGGCACTTCTTTCGCGCTTGCATGCGCCAAGCCTTCCTTGACCAAACTCCATTATTCATTCACAGTTAATGACGTGCCCCTTGTCTGGTCTGTGCAGCTTGCATGTGCCCAAACCAGGCTCACTTCCTCTTCAGGCTTCTCTTCCTTTGGTTTCTCATCTTCGGGGACCGTCGGCTGATCTGGCTGCGGAGTGGGGGTTTGGCGGCGCAGCACTACAAATAAGAGAAAGATGAGCACAGCCACTATAGTAGAGATAAGCACAGTAGCAGCTCGTGGACCTGAAAGCCTTCCCCCCTCGGGCGTAGCGCTGGACAGGGTTGAAGGCACATCATCGCCTAATTCGATGACTTCAGGGTTGGATAAGCCTACATCTGCTTCCGGTGCTTCCGCTGGACTGTTACACGCCGAAACCATAGTGACTACAAGGGTGAGGATGGCGGGTACGGAGGACTGCATCTTGGAAATGGAATGAAACCGCAAAAAATCCACCTTCAAATATGTGTTTAGGACCTTTAATAAGCGAATTAAACGGAAAGTTTCTCGATGCAAACAAACGGTGGGCTCCCTTCCGAAAGTATACGCCCTGGAATTTAAACCACCTGTTGATGGATTTGTATGGCAAGCAAAGTCGGCGATATTTCTTTCTAGCTGTTTTCCGGAAAGAAAAAGCGCTAAGGTACGAATATTATTTGTCTGATTCGCAGATCCTCGATGAGAAGATGCCGATCTATTTGTTCGAGGCCCCGCTTCCCTCGGTGCAAGACCAGACGCCAGAGAGCGGGCTGTAATCCCGCAGCAACAGAACGGGGCATTATCACCGTTTTTCAGTAGTTAAATGCATTATTTTGAAACTAAGGTGGGAGCTAAGGGAATATTCGGGGGTGTAGCGGCCAATAAGAATTTTGCAAGTTATGGGTGTTGCCACGGCGCGGACCAGTTCGTGGGTAGATATGACCTGTCGTGTCTGGTTGCAATTCGGGCTCATCCATGTATTAATGCCCTTTCTCTAACGTTTATTTTCGTTTGTTTGTTGCTTATTTAGGGCGTTACGTCTGAGCCCAGAGGGGCACAGCTGCTCTCCACAGTCACCACGGACCATCTGGGTGCGAAGGAGAGCTCCTAGAGAGACGATGACAGACATGTGAACAAGTAGGCTAACAAACGCACAGAAAGGACTCTGCTATGCCTGTAGAGGCGGGCTGCAGCTTGCGGGAACTATGCAGAAGCGACAATCAGCACAGCCACACAGCAGAGTATTGCTCACATCCTACAGGCCTTCGGCATGGGAGCAACAAGTGCTTCTTCTAAGCAAGATGTTCTCGTAATGGAAATTCCTCATAGTAGCCAGCTGCTTTAGCTAACGCTAACCACTTGGCTCTGCATCTAGCCCTTGTAGCTACCGTAATCTGGCCATTCTTAATGTGTCTCCCGCCGCAGCATCGCAGTTCCACTGTCCCTTGCCTCTATGCTGTCTCTGTTTGATTTGCGTGATCTGTCTTAAACTGCGGTAAGAAGGACAGTGGCACCCAGGCGTGGTTGCTTCTGTTTGTCGTTCTGTAAGGCGCGTATGCATCTGCACATGCGCCTTGGCGTTTCACCGCTGGGTGTGTGCCTGCGTGAAACAGTGTACTAGCGTTTGTGTGTAGTGTTTGCACTTTGATTTGCCTTTATCTCTGGTGTAGTACCAGTATCGGGCCACTGGGTTCTGCATGCGTCGCGAGTACACAAGCTTGCTGAAAGAGTTCTTCCTTGTTTGTAATCTTCAAGGAGTACTGCACTGCCATATCTTTTAGGGTGGAGAGCTTTCTTTTCATTGGAGATATATAAGATTTGCGGAAGCCACTGCTGCCAACTGTACGTTGCAGCGGGCCCGACTGCTTCTTGCATCCTGTATAAAGAGGCGTACAGCATCATAAACGAACAATCACTACCACTTAAGCTTGAAGGTATCATTCTGTTGCGCAGAGAAACAACAAAAACAAGTTCACAAATTGCAACTGTTGCGAGATAACAAGTATGCAGAAGTTTGGGCCGCACCATATACTGTTCTAGCTATTACGTTTATATGAAATGAAGCGCACGTGAGTTACAAGTTTCACGCGTTGCTACAGCAGCGCAGGATGCGCCTCTAGAGGTGACTGTGGGACTAAAATTTTCTAGCGCACTTTGTGCAGTGGATGGTTTGCTGTTGCTGCTGCTGGTGTCTGTCGTAAGGGCCGACGTTGCTGCTGTCTCCACCCGAACAACAAAATGCAATGCAACGACACACAGAGGATTTATCTACATGGCAGCTTGGAACGACAACGGCAGAACCCCAAACCTCTGTGCCGTGCACAAGTTGAGACCGAGTTCAAGCATGCAGCAGAATTGCTGATTTTACTCTGCTCTTGCTAGGAATTCATTATAGTCGAGCATGCAGTTCTCGCTAACGAGCAGCAAGGTTGGCTGCGCCTCCCAAATATCTACAAAGTACCTCGACTCTGAACCTGCGGTTCTCGCAGAGTCTCAACATCTAGGGAGCAGCATCTCTCACACCATTGAGGCATTTAAAAGAATGCCATGGCATACAAACCTTCTTATCGTATTCTTTTGCATAAGGAAAGTGATTAAAATCAATCAAATGTAACGCGCTATCTACGGCTCACTAAGCATGGAGCTAGTTATTTCAGGACTACTCAGAGGAAACCCGAATAATGCTTAGTAACACAAAAGGTTTTTTCTGTTGATAATGGTCAGAGTGTAGTTCTTGTTCGGCCAGAGGGACCTTCTGAGCTCATTCTAAAGTGAGCAGCATTGCTGGGCATAGAAAACTTTAAGGGGAGCCCGCATGCACTTTCTCAGGCTTGCTTGCCAAGCCATCTATCTCCCTCTGACTCCACCTGTTTTAGCTTCAGCAGCAGCAGCAGATGCTGCTGCTGGTGCTGCTCTAAACATTTGCTGCAAGTCGGCTGTCTTGCCGTTATCCCTACGCAAATGCGGGAGAGAAAGAAGGGCCGTCGCTGCTGCATCTGGCACAGCAGCTAAGGCAGCAGCAGCAGCAACAAAAGCAACAGCTGCAGCTCGCTGCTTACACAATTTTTTGGATTCATATGTTGTCGAATCCTCCTCTGCAGCAACGGCCTTGCTGCTTTCACTGCATTTGATCTCGGTGGCCCAGAAGGCCTGGCGGCTGCTGCAGCAGAGCGCCGCTTACTACGAGGTCTGCTGCAGGAACCAAATCAGCGTCTGCGCATTCTGTATTTTGTGGTAGGTTGACATACACCTCATCGCCACGTCGCCGCAGCTGCTGCTCCTGTTGCTGCTGCTGCTCTTGCTGCTGTTTGCCTTCTGATGCGAATCGCTGCAGCTCTACTACCTCAATCTGGTCTCTTGTCTGCCTGCGAGGCCGGCGCGGGCTAGCGAAGAAGGGCTTCAGATACCTGCGGATACACCCGACACGGTCGCGAGCACACGAGCAACAGATGCCAGTAGCCAAACAGCTCTAGAGGAACAAAAAATGGAGATGAATAACAAGGAGAAAGAAGGGAAATACAAATTGAAAGACGCGCACTTAGCGTCAAGCAAACGCAGAGCCCGGCGCAGCAGCGCGCAGCAGTTGTTTCTGCACCAAGCTCCACTAGACGCCTCATTCTCCTGCTGCTGCGTCCTCTGAGCAGAGGTCCCGCTGGCGCTCAGGTTGCTGCTGTTGTTGCTGCTGCTGCTGCTGTGCAGCGGGAGTTCTCCCGCTGCACCATCCTCGTTCGCCCTTTCAGGCTCATCCGAAAATATTCCTAGAGGTTTCAGCGCAAACAACAGCGCCGGCGCTGCACCCAGCGACACGCAAACCCTAAACCCTAAAGTTTTAAACCCTAAAGCCCTAAACCCTACTGAACTCATCCTCATGTCAAGCTTCAGCAGGCTGAACAACAACTCTTAACGACCCTAAGGCACTAAGCCCTAAACCCTAAACCCTAAACCCTAAACCCTAAACCCTAGATCATACGCCGCAACCATTTTATAACAAGTAGGACGCACTGATACGCGACCCTTAGGCACTAAAGCCTAAGCCTTAAAGTAGAAACCCTAAACCCTAAGCCGCAAGCATTTAATAATAATATGTCACGACGCACTTATAAGCAGCACAGACACCAAAGCCACAACCAATGTGAACGTCAGGATCGCCTTCCCCTCTCGACCCCCAAAGTCGTGGTGAGCCCTCTCCGCCAGTGCAAAGGCTGCGCGCAACCCCCCACAACGCTACGCCCAAACCCTAAACCCTAAGCCCTACACCCTGAGAAACAGCAAACCATTAGCGATGCTGCGACTCCCGCAGCAAACGGTAAACCCTAAACCCGAGCGAATGCTGCGCCTCCTGCAGCAGGCGCTAGGGGTTTGCGCTTGTGCGCGCCGTCCATGGGATTCAAATATGGGGTCTTGGGCTTGTCTAGGGTTTAGGGTGTAGGGTTTACGAACCGACTGTCCCTCGCAGCCCGCACAGCGCAATGGCATGCTGCTCTTTCATTGATAGGCGCTTGCGGCCTCTAAAGAAGTTCATGAGGAAGCAAGTCAAGTATACACTAAGGGCCCTGAACGCGCACATCCATTCACCCCAACCCTAAACCCTAAACCCTAAACTCTAACCACCGACCCCTTGGCATTTCTCCTTCAACTCGCACAGACGGCGCAGCGGCCGCAAAGCACTCCAAATGCAGGCGGTTTAGGGTTTAGGGTTTAGGGTTTGTTTCTGATGGTTGGAGGCCCTAAGCTAGCGAATAGGACTAAGACCCACGCCACAGGTGCAGAGGGCGAGGAAAGGGAAGCAGTAAGCGCTGAGGCTGGAGTGCATACTCACCGCGCCGCAACAACAGCAGCGAGGCCTCCAGCAAGAAAGAGGCCAGCTTCTTCGAGCGGCAGCAAATCAAAGGAGAAGGGGGCCAGCCCCAAGAAAACGAATGCAAGACACTCAGTTAAAAGAGCGAACGCCCCAAAGACAGCTGCATGCACCGAACCCCACATCCTAGACCCTAAACCCTAAAAACCCCTCGCCTTTCAGCACCTACGTCTCCATGAAATACAGCAACAACCAACCACACGAGAAGCAGGGCCCACATAAGGGGCCCCCAAAACATACCTCGCGATGCTACTTGAGCTGTCTCCGACAGATTTGCAAATGCATACTTCCCCATACAAATGCCGCAGAAACAAATGGAGACGATCCCGCTCCCCCCACAACCCTGCCATACACCACACGCCCCACGCCCCACACCCCACAATCTAAACCGTAAACCCTAGATATTAGAAAACAACCATAAGTACATAAAGCAGCGGAAGGTATCCCCACGTTGCACGTTTGGGCAACAGCAGGGCCTCGGCCTTGTCGGGTTTAGGGTCTAGGGTTTAGGGTTTTATGTTGGGAACTAGGGTTTGGTGTTTAGGGTTAAGGGTACGTCTGCAATGAGATAAGACAGCCAGGGAAAGAGCAGCAACAGCGCAACCTCCAGCGCAACGCTCTCCTCGTCCCAGTCGATGTGTTTGTACACCTAAAGCAAAACGCCAAACCCTAAACCATAAACCCTAAGCCCCAAACCCTGCACAACCTCCACAATGGAGGCACTTCAGAGCTCATGCTCCAGCACAGCGAATGCAGCAGCAGCAGCAGCAGCGGCGGAAGCGTACAAGGGCAGCAACAGCTCCTGTGAGGAGCCCGAGGGCTGTGGAGAATAAGAAGGTGAAGAAGAAGGAAGCAACAGCAGCAGCAAATCCTCTTTGTGTCTCCTCATCGGCAATTGCCCTATACAAGACAAGCGTCACTGCGTCGTTCAGGAGACTCTCCCCAAATACCTGACAGTGAAAACGTGCATGCAAACAGCAGCAAGAATGCAGCAACTGTTGCCCCTGCTCAGCCCTCTAAGTCTGCTGCTGACGAAGGAAAACAGCACAAGCCGTAATGCAGCAGCTGCCGTTGCAGTGACGGCAGCAGCAGCGCCACAGAGAGCAACAGCAGCAGCAGCAGCAGCAGCAAATCCCGAGGGCTTTTGATGTGACGTCTCGCAACCAAAGCGTCAGTAGTTGCAGCAGCAACTGCAGCAGCAGCAGCAGCAACAGCAGATGCAAGTTCAGCTTCGTTCAATCCAGCGACGCCGCGCGCTGCTGCAAATAAGAACCCCCCGACAAGGGTTTAGGGTTTAGGGTTTACCAGCACGTGTATCAACAGCTTCGCGCGCAAATCTCTAAAGGCACTCAGCACAGCCACCGGGTCCGTAGAAGAAATCAGTGCGCCGACAGCAAAGGCACGGCGAGGAGTAAGAGAAATACCTGGAAGCAGCAGGCCTGCAGCAGCAGCAGCAGCAACAAAAGCAGCAGAAGCAGCAGTAGCAGAATCGGCGGAGTCACAGAAAGCAAATGCACCCAGTCCAACACCAGCACGAACAGCCGCTGCAGCGGCGAACCTATCAGCAGCAGCAGCAACAATTGCTTCAGCAGCAAGCACAAGCACCCCTCCCATTGCCACTCCAGTGTAGAAGCAGCAGCAGCAAGACAGAACAACAAGGAGCAGGCGACGTAGCAGCTACAACAACAACGCCCAAAGCAACAGCAGCAGCGCAGCAGCAGGAGGCGCAGCAGCAGCATTCAAAGCAGAAGCAGCATTCAAAGCAGCAGGAGCAGCGCAGCAGCGTCCGTAGACTCGCAGCATCAGCGCGCGCATGCAGTAGCGGCTAGAAGCAGCAGCAGCACCATTATCAGCATCAGCGACAGCAGCAGCAGAATCAGAAGCAGCAGCAGCACCTGCCCCTAGCATATGGGCGCCTATAAACAAACAACTAAAGATGGTGGCCCCCACAGCCAACCACAAAACGCTGCCGAAATTTTCGGCGAAGACGAAGCCAAAAGGATGCTGCGCCAGCTCCAAACCCCTTTAAACAGCACAAACCACAAACCCTAATTCAAATATATATATATATATATGTATATATATATATATATATAA